CGCTTGAATGATGCCGAGTTCTTTGCAAAAAACCGCTGCCATCCTTACTGAAAACCAAGAAAAGGGGACGTCATACAGGGCGGAGCAGACAGGGCCCTTTGACCCATCGAACGGTCACCGCTTTTCGTACAAGGTGACGAGGCGAGGCGGAAACGAGCAAAGGCGGGTGCTCATCGATCTTCGAGAACACAAGAAATCAACGTGCTCGTGCAACTACACACGCTAAGTGCATGAACCGCTAAACCCATGCATATCTGCGCCACCTGTAATTGTTGGCTTCTACTCGACCACATTAACACCTATTATTGTCGTTTTCTCCCTCTCCCTTGCACCATCTTGCAGCGAGTATGGATTGCCTTGTGTCCACCTGTTTGCTGCTTTTAGTCTCCATGGTACAGGTTCTGGTGCCATGGAGGTGGTGGATCGGATTTACACCCCTTCAGCTCTACGGGAAGTCTACTGCAAGGCATTTGAGAGTTTGGACCCAACAGAGTTCGTTCCGGATGGCGAGACAATGGTGCCATCTTACCCAAAGAGGCCTGGGAGGCCACGTGAAAAAGGCTGAGGTCCCATGGTGAAGTAGATGGGAGGAAACCGCAGAAGTGTGGAAAGTGTGATGAGAAAGGGCATAATCGGTTGACTTGTGATTTGCGGGCACAACGCAACGCCATATGGGAGGCAATGAGATCGCCGCAAGGCCATATGAACGTGCAAGCAGCCACCCATGCAGAAGCATCTGTGAGTCTTTCCCCGTGCAGCGCGTGCGGTAATATGCATCGTAGAGGAGTCTTTTGCGCACCCCTGAGGCAACAACGAGAGCAAGATGGACAAGACCAGCAAGATACCAATGGAGAGAGCGACACATTTTCAAATGGTGAGGAGGATAGTGAGGATGAGGATGGGTTTGAGGGGGAGAACACAGAGGGTGACGAGCAGAATGCTTCATTGGAGAACGACGTCGACAACAACTTGAATCAGCCCATGGTGGAGGTATTTGACAATACATACCCTCACATCCCTCATAGTGGTGTTGATGTCAATGAGGCGATGGCAAGGACATCTGCTGAAAGGAGGTTGGAGGGTGGAGCTGAGGAAGAACATTCTGTTCCTGCAGAGGGAGCCTGAACGAATGGTGAGCCCATGCCTGCAGAAGCGGATGCAAGGGAAAGAGGAGGGAGAAGAGGAAGGGGAGGAGGTGGGGGAAGGGGTGGAAGGGGTGAGACGGGCGAAAGGGGTGAAACGGGAGGAAGGGGTGAAACGGGAGGAAGGGGAGGAAGTGAAGGAAGTGGAGGAAGGGGAGGAAGGGTTGGAAGGGGAGGAAGGGGAGGAAGAGTTGGAAGGGGAGGAAGGGGAGGAAGGGGAGGCAGAGGAAGAGGGGTTACCGCTACATGCGACACAGATGGCTTCACTGGACAAGTTGGGGATGTAGGAGGTGGTTCGGAGGAGCAAGGTGCTGTTCCTGCTCAGGGAGGGATGGGGGCTGGTTCTGCTCAGGGAGAGATGGGGGCTGGTTCTGCTCAGGGAGGGATGGGGGCTGGTTCTGCTCAGAAAGGGATGGGGGCTGGTTCTGCTCAGGGAGGGATGGGGGCTGGTTCTGCTCAGGGAGGGATGGGGGTTGGTTCTGCTCAAGAAGGGATGGGGGTTGGTCCTGCTCAGGGAGGGATGGGGGCTGGTTCTGCTCAGGGAGGGATGGGGGCTGGTTCTGCTCAGGGAGGGATGGGGGCTGGTCCGCATAGGCCAGAGGCGCCGCGAGTGTTGCAAAGCGGAGGGAGGCATGTCAGGGGAGGAGGGGGAGAAAGGGTAGGGATGAATGCACCAAGGCAAAGTGCTGGTAGTACACCAGCAATTGCAGGAGTACAGCCGCGGAGTGTGGAGAGAGTGATTGGGGAACGACGGAGGTGGTTGTCACGGATGCGACAGCAATGCCAGGTGGCGCAGCAGGCAGAGGTGGATGGTGCAGTAGAGGAGCAACGAACCTGGCGGCAGGATGTGTCATCTGGGAAAGCGCAGCCAGAGCAGCGCAGATGGTGGGGTGCACCAAGAGGAGTTTTTGCAGCGGAAAGAGCAGCAGAGGGTAAGTCGACAGCATCGCCTTTATAAGAGGAAGCAGCAGAGCTTGAAACGGACTCATGAGCAGATGGAAAGGCGCCCACAAGTAGAAGAGACTCAACAACGACGTCGTGCTGGACAAGCTTAACCCCATTCGGAGAATGGGAATGGGGGCCAGCAGGTAAGAATGAGGCGGGTGCTCCACCTTTCCCTCTCTGATACACTCATTACCTCTCCTGGTTCCCCTCGTTTCCCCCCCCCTGCTTCCATTCATTTCCCCCACCGCTTCACAAATTTTTCCTCCTTCGCGTTGGGTCATTACAGCTTGCGCTTGCACCATAACCTTTCTCATATGCCCCGTTCGCCCTCCCTTGCATTTTCTCCCTCTCCCTTGCTACTTAGGTGAATACCCTGAAGATTTCTCTTGCTTCGACGCGCCTAATTCCATCATCTATTGACATGCTTCCTGAGTAGCTCTCCTTGTCCACCGTTTTATGCAGAGTAAGTGCAGCAAGCAATCATTAGTGTACCTTTATATATGGCCATTGCAGCTGTCAGTCTTTGACAAATTCATCTAACAGTCGAGGATTGTGTAGGAAACTTGTCAGTAAACCTCAGCAACCGAATATTTTTATGGAATAACGTATGCTTCTCAAACAATAGAGAGAATATAGGGTATTTTTCTAGAACAAAATATAGTAGTATACACACGTCAATTCACCGCTACAGCACAAACTAGTAGTCGCATGACACAAATTTAGTGGTGTGAGTAGCGGTGTACAGTTGTTTGAATTTATAGCACAACCGTTTGTTCAGCAGTACCCTACATTCTACAAAATACCAAGAAACTTTCTCCATAACAAGGCTATGTTTGGCCTGCATCTTCAGTTTACTATCATGCGATTGTATAGCCAATAATGGCGTATTCCAGATGAGTGATTCCGGTACTACGGTATACGATAATACGACATCTTAAAACATACGGTACGTTACCCTTCTCTTTGTCTCTCCGTCGTTTCCAGCATAAGCTCCGATGAGAAAATGAGACATTATTCCGAATGTGTGTGGTGGTGAGAGTAATGACACACATCAGTATTTGCAACTTGCATATTGGTGGCAGAGGTAGACTTCTTTTGGATCTATAACACTAACATTTGTTCAGTAACCTCTATTCTTGAAAGAAACGATTCCAGGAAACCGCTTCTCTAACATGGCAATGCGTGGCCTGCATCTTCAGGCTACAAAAATGACTAATAATTCCGTATTCGGGATATTTTAAAGCTATATATTCCCCCCTTATCATACTGTACCCTTCGCGTTGTCTCACCATCTTACCGTTCAATTACCGAGATACGGTACCAGTCCATATGTTTGTGGCCAAAAACTGAATGTTGATCCCAAAACAAGTATTGTGTCCTTTTTAGGCTGCATTCAGCAGTAGCATTGCATGTTGTTGGAATAACATATACGGTAGGGATATATGTTAAGTCCGGGAGCCAGGGATATATCTTAATTATACGGTACAATCTCAATGTACTACATATGCCATACGCGTGCAGACAATGATGTTATTTTTGCAGTGATGGGGTATATCATGGCCTGTAGGTAAACAAATCTACGGTAGTGATAGGCGGAGAGGGGACGTGATAAGAGAGCTTGAGGTTAGTTTGGGAAGCGGCGTTGCTGGTAGGAGGGATCGATGGTTGACATGGCAGGCCCCGAGAGTGCACGCAGGTGCGCGTGCGTGCGTGTGTGTCATGCTGGAGGCCTGAAGTAGGTCTTGCATGCACACACATCCATGGTGGAGAGGAAGCAAGCGAGCAGCACGGAGCGTGTGGTGCATTCCATCCCAAGGACCTCCATCGCGGTGCACACATACAGATCCCGCAGGGTCCGCAGCAGCAGCATGGAGATGAGCGACCACGGCACAGCAATGCACGCCCGAAGCCACCGCCGCCACGTACAGGCAGAAGGGCTGCAGGCAAGTCCAGGACGGGAAGGATAGCAAGGGTATAGCGGGAGTGGGATGATGGTGGATGGAGATGGGAGAGTGGGTGACTGGGAGTATGGTCGGCCCAAATATGTGCATTCACATGGTATCCCACTGCCATGAAACACAAAACTCGCCTTAAAACCTCATCAAAATCTCCTCCCTCCATCACACCCCCCCAACCCAAGGTCCTCACTGAAGCTGTTCGGCACGCGGCCAGTGCTGAACAGTGGGGTTGCGGTGGAAGAAGGCGAGCGGCGAGGCGAAGACGGATCCCAAAATATTCGTCACAGTGGGGGTGAACGGAGCAATGGAGGGAATGCGAGTGGAGAGCACGAGGTAGAAGACAAGGTCGAGGGGGGCGGTGGGAGGAGAAGAACTGGTGGCACGAGGGCATAGAAACCAGGACTGTGCTGTTTGATAGAGCTTCCACTGATCCCAACACCACTGCACGCGCACTGCTACTGCTGGCACTGATGCTGCTGCTGGCGCCGCCTGGTATGTTCCCCACACCACTGCCACTTACGCTGCTGCTTCCACCTATAGGAAGGCGTGGCATCCCATTGCCGACCGCACTCAGCCTGATGCTGCCCGCGCTGATCCCACTTGTGATACCCACATCTCATATCCCCACAGCACTTGGTCCACTGCTGCTGCCACTGCCTCTGCTGCCGTCACTGCTCCCCACGTCAACAACCACAGGCGAGCAGCCTCTGCTGTCGGCTGAAACCGCCAACACCCCCACCACTGCCACTGCTATTGCCGCTGGCAGAAATACTGGCAGCAGCGCCATGCAGCCAGGATGCGAGCTGGTCTCCATATGTGATGCTGAGAGTTGTGAGGCTGACTGGCTGCATGGAGGCTGCGAGCAGCGCCACTGTGAAATTGCGCAGGTCTGGAGAGGAGGAGAAGAGGGGTGGAGAGGGAAGGGGCACAAGAGGAAGGGGCGAGAGAGGGGGGGTCAAGCGGAGGGGGGCGGGGCGGGGGGCGTGGCAGAGGAAAGAGGGTGGGAAAAAGGAAAGGTTGAATGGCAGGAGGCAAGCTGGCCTCCATAGGTGGCGGTGAGGCTGACCGGGGTGATGGTAGTGGCGACGAGGGGCACTGTGAAGTTGCGCAGGTATGGGGGAGGAACGGGTGGAGGGTGAGGGGAACAGGGGGAGCGAGGCGCGGGGAGGGGTCCTAGAGGAGGGTGGCGAGGGGAGGGGGATGTGGCAGGGGAATGGGAGGGTAGGGGTAAGGGGGAATGGCAGGGGAATGAGGGTAGGGGTAAGGGGGAATGGCAGGGGAATGGGGGTAGGGGTAAGGGGGAATGGCAGAGAAATGAGGGTTGGGGTAAGGGGGAATGGCAGGGGAATGTGGGTAGGGGTAAAGGGGAATGGCAGGGGAATGAGGGTAGGGGTAAGGGGGAATGGCAGGGGAATGAGGGTAGGGGTCAGGGGGAATGGCAGGGGAATGGGGGTAGGGGTAAGGGGGAATGGCAGGGGAATGAGGGTAGGGGTAAGGGGGAATGGTAGGGGAATGAGGGTAGGGGTCAGGGGGAATGGCAGGGGAATGAGGGTAGGGGTAAGGGGGAATGGGAGGGGAATGAGGGTAGGGGTCAGGGGGAATGGCAGGGGAATGGGGGTTGGGGTAAGGGGGAATGGCAGGGGAATTAGGGTAGGGGTAAGGGGGAATGGCAGGGGAATGTGGGTAGGGGTAAGGGGGAATGGATGGGGAATGAGGGTAGGGTTAAGGGGGAATGGCAGGGGAATGAGGGTAGGGGTAAGGGGGAATGGCAGGGGAATGGGGGTAGGGGTAAGGGGGAATGGCAGGGGAATGAGGGTTGGGGTAAGGGGGAATGGCAGGGGAATGTGGGTAGGGGTAAGGGGGAATGGCAGGGGAATGGGAGGGGAGGGAGGTTAACCAAGAAAGATGATAGTTGCCAGCGGATGGTGACAGTTGAGAGATGTGTCGTGAGAGAGGTGCAAGGCTTACCATATCGGATGCGAATGACGGTGTTGTTGCCCTGCTGCACGAACGGGGGAGAGGCACAAGGGAGGGATGTGGGGAGTGCAGGGAGGGGGGAGAGGCACGAGGGAGGGATGTGGGGAGTGCACGGAGGGGGGAGAGGCACGAGGGAGGGATGTGGGGAGTGCAGGGAGGGGGGAGAGGCACGAGGGAGGGATGTGGGGAGTGCACGGAGGGGGGAGAGGCACGAGGGAGGGATGTGGGGAGTGCAGGGAGGGGGGAGAGGCACGAGGGAGGGATGTGGGGAGTGCAGGGAGGGGGGGTATGGGGGCTCGCGGGATAGGGTGGGGAGGGATGGAGGGGTGGGAGAAAATGAAACCGCCATAAGGGTTTTCTTGAGAATTCTCTAAAAAGCCAAAAGGAGGGACAGGCCCAGGGAGGGGCAGAGGGGAGCTACACGAGCCACACTGTAACGTGAGGCACACCAATGTGACTTTACCAAGCAGTGGTGGGTATGAGTGCGTGAGACTATACCGAGCAGTGGTGGGTGTGATTGCGCGTGACTATACCGAGTGGTGGGTGTGAGTGTGTGTGACTATACCCAGCAGAAGTGGGTGGGTGTGAGTGTGTGTGACTATACCCAGCAGTAGTGGGTGGGTGTGAGTGTGTGACTATACCCAGCAGTAGTGGGTGGGTGTGGATGTGAGAGTGTGGCTATACTATACCGAGCAGTAGCGTGGGTTGCAGCGGAAGGCGGGGCAGGGGCGGTTGAAGAGGATGGTGTCGTGAGAGCCGTTGCTCTGCTGGGTGATCCTCGTGTAGGTCATAGTGGGAATCATGGGTGCCACAGCCACTGCACACATGTGGGGGAGGAAGGGGGGGAGCGGGGGGAGAAGGGTTGAGGTCATGCTGGGCATGACAGGCACCGCTGCCAGTGGGTGTTGTGAGAGCCGTTGCTCTGCTGGGTGATCCTCGTGTAGGTCATGCTGAGTCTCGTGGGCGCTGCTGCCACTGCACGCATGGGGGGAAAAGGCGCCGAGCGCATTGGCGCGAGGCGCGGTGTAACGCATCCCCTACTCCTACCTATCGAGCTACCTCACTCCTAAGGTAACCATTCGAGATTGAACTCGATGAAGGTTGAGTTGCGGGAGATTGTAGTTGGGGTTGGGAAGGAGGGGTTGGGAAGGAAGGGTTGGTTGGGTTTATCCAAACCTCAACATTGAGGCTTGGAACATTCCAACCCATCAAAGTGAAATCACTAAGGTTGGAATTCCAACCAATCAGAAACTGCCAAACAATTGTTACAATCTACTCTATCCTAAACACAACCATTGAATGGTTCTAAGTTGGGTTTTCCAACCCAACACAATTGCCACATAGGCTCCAAGCCTAGGAACCATCCCACCATGGAAACCATGGTTGGGATAGTTCCCCAAGGGGTGTATTGAGGGGGTCTGAGCTAAGCAAGCTCATTCTCAACCTCCAACTCCAACTAAACAATTGGAAATGGGATTGTTTCTCTAAGTCATTTTGGGCTCTCTCACAAGCCTTCCTACACAATTCTCTCAAGCTATTTTAACAACTCCTTCAAGAAGATTGGCACTTCAAAGGCTATTGGGAGCTAGCTAGAGCTTCATCTTGTATTGGGATTTATTATAAAAGCCTTGTAACTCCATTATAATAGCCTTGGGTGTTACATGCAGGGCATTGCGCCAGGCGCATTGGCGCCGAGCGCATTGGCGCCAGGCGCATTGGCGCCGAGCGCATTGGCGCCAGGCGCATCGGCGCCAGGCGCCAGTCGCATCGGCGCCAAGGGCATTTTCGCCAGGCGCATTGGCGCCAGGGACGGCCGTTAGCGCCACGGACCCTGGAAGCATGTGCGCTGGACCTGCGGCGCAAATGGCTGCAAATGAATGCATGCATGCAACTCACAAGTTTTGCGGAGTCTAAAGTATGAAAACGTTGAGCATGTGGAGGATTGCGGTCCCAATGTCGATCTTCGTCTGCATCGTTGCCGTGCTTAGATTCCTATACGTCGCAACATTGGAAACAACTACAAATAGGTGCTACTAATCGGCTTTGGTAGATGTCGCAAATGGAAACCCTAACTTAGGATCTCACTGAGTTCGCCAAGGGATTGACAGTCGTGAGTGAGTGGGAAGGGTGAGGCAGGTGGGGTTGATGGCCTGGGATGGACTGGGGCACGTTTACATTCGCATTCAGATTGGGGAGAGGCTCCACAACAGTTCCAGCACAGTATGATTGCCAGCAAGGCGAATCTACAGCAGTGCTAGCCCTCAATCTCGAGCCCACCAGAAGAGGCAGTGTGTGGCCAGAAAAGGCCAGAAACGGTTTGTTCAGAGTGGAAGTGCGTCAGATAGTATAGCAAGAGGACACGTGGCGCAAAATTCGCCCCGCAGGATCAGTTTAGAACATACTTTGGGCCTCGCGTGAGCGAAATTCCAGAAAGTAGTACTTTTTGAGTAAACCTGGGGTTAAATATGCGAAAAAACTGAAACGAAGGATCTGGGATATAGTTTCCCAATTCACTATGACCATGGTTGTTGTTGTGGTCGATTTACAGTTTTGGGGTTCTGGTTTGTTTCTCGATATTGTTCGCGACCCTATTGCTAGTCACCAGGTTTCGGTGCGAAACCAGCACATCACGAAAGGTGCCCAAACATGTTGCGACTCTGTGCTGTTCACGGCAGGGGCGTTTTCGTGCCCAATTTGGTCGCACGTATGGTTTTTCACCTGGGGCGATTTCCCTACTCGATCGTATATGCGGTCGTTTTCTAAGAAAATCTCGCATGCATCACCATCGCTTGACCCAACCAAATGGTCGGATTTTGGCCGCGGTCGCTACAATGTTCACGCCCAAGTTCAGTGGGCAAAGATGGGGCAACCCAGTTTTGGGCATGGGATGTGGCGTCGCACTTTGTATAGCAGTCGCAGAAAGGTCGCGTGTCATGGTATAGAGCAACTGTGCAAGGGTTACTGCCAAAGTCGCAAGAGGGTAGTACTACTATTACTAGTACTATATGAGGTGAAGGCCGTTCTCTCCGTTTCCCCCGCTCCTGCTCTCCCATGTCCCGCTCAAGCGGTTGTCAGCGGCAATGGCCGACGAATGCGATCTGCGTGTTGGTCGTGCTACTCGTGTGCGCCGCGGCGCTAGTATTCGAGCTGAATCGCCCGCCAACCTCCATCGTGCAGATACCCTTCGAGCCTGCTGCCTCCACACGTCTCGAACAGTTTTCGGAACAACGAGCCATGACTCCAGAGTCTGGAGTCGGCATCGGGCAGGTGTGCCGCGCTGCATTCAGTATTACTAGTACTAGTAGTGCGGCCACCTAGGTGACTTGTTGCGTCTGGCATTGCCATGTGCGCCGCCAGCGGCTGATCTGCCCGAAGGGCCTTCGCCGAGCGGCGCGCGTAGTCTGCTTCTTCGCGGCCCTCGTCCTCTCTTGCCGCAAGTCGATTTCGCGCTAACGCACCCTTCGCCTTCCTACGGGTTCTCTTGCCATCATGAAATCAGTTTCTTTTTTTCGTTTTCTAACCAGATGTTAGGATTCGCGTGCTATGTTGGCAGGAAGGCGGCTGGGAGTCGGACAATCCCGAGAAGGCCAACTTGGATTCTATGCGGCTTAGGTCATGCTCTGTAACATCCTCGGTCAACCCATCTCGTCCGCTTTCCCCTGCGTCCGCCTTTCTAACATGCGTCGCGCACAAATGCTCATCCCACTGCCCATCCCTACACCCATCCTGCTCCTGCACACATCACTAAAATCGCGGAAAACCTCTCATGAAGTGTGTTTGTTGTGTTTTTGCAGATGATTTGAAGATGTAGGGGTCGGTACTTTTCTAGAAGAAAGTATCAAACTTTTTCCAGATGGTATGTCAGATGCTTTGCAGATGATCGGAGTGTTTTTAAACAGTTTGGAAATGGTTGTGAGGAACTTCTCATTGTGTTTGGGATAACTTGTTTAAATCATGTTATGTGCTTCAATTTTAGACTTGTATAAGGTTTGCTATTTACTTTTATATGCATGTAATAATCTTGAAAAGGGTTTATGGGGTATTATAAATAAACGTAATCGGAGTTTGAAAAACCCAGTTGGTAGTTTCTTTAGCACTTACCATAAATACACCGTAAGAGGGAAGGCATGTACGTGTAAATCATAATATTAGCTTGAAAAGGTTTACGACACATTAGATGCCTACTTATTCTCTGGTTCTTAGCTACTCTACTATTCATCCTCGGTTAATGACACCTGCGCTACTACTACCCACTATCAACCCTAGGTCCGTACTCTGCTTCATCCTCCCTGCTGTGCTACTCCCTGCTACATCCTCCCTGCTGTGCTACTCCCCGCTGCATCCTCCCTGCTGTGCTACTCCCCACTACATCCTCCCTGCTGTGCTACTCCCCGCTACATCCTCCCTGCTGTGCTACTCCCCGCTGCATCCTCCCTGCTGTGCTATTATTTCTTAACCCCGCCCCCTTGATGTCAATCCTTGCTTCCCCCTCATGTTGTTACTACTGTGCTCCCCTCCCTGCTGTTACTCCTGCGCACCTCTCCTTGCTGATACTCCTCTCCTCCCTTCCCAGCCGTGGTTCCTCTCCTCCCTTCCCTGCTGTGGTTCCCCTGCTCCCCTCCCTGCTGTGACTCCTCTCCTCCCTTCCCTGCTGTGGTTCCCCTGCTCCCCTCCCTGCTGTGGTTCCTCTCCTCCCTTCCCTGCTGTGGTTACCCTGCTCCCCTCCCTGCTGTGGTTCCTCTCCTCCCTTCCCTGCTGTGGTTCCTCTGCTCCCCTCCCTGCTGTGGTTCCTCTCCTCCCTTCCCTGCTGTGGTTCCCATGCTCCCCTCCCTGCTATGGTTCCTCTCCTCCCTTCCCTGCTGTGGTTCCCCTGCTCCTCTCCCTGCTGTGGTTCCTCTCCTCCCCTCCCTGCTGTGGTTCCCCTGCTCCCCTCCCTGCTGTGACTCCTCTCCTCCCTTCCCTGCTGTGGTTACCCTGCTCCCTTCCCTGCTGTGGTTCATCTCCTCCCTTCCCTGCTGTGGTTCCCATGCTCCTCTCCCTGCTGTGGTTACTCTCCTCCCTTCCCTGCTGTGGTTACCCTGCTCCCCTCCCTGCTGTGACTCCTCTCCTCCCCTCCCTGCTGTGGTTCCTCTCCTCCCTTCCCTGCAGTGGTTACCCTGCTCCCCTCCCTGCTGTGGTTCCTCTCCTCCCTTCCCGGCTGCGGTTCCTCTGCTCCCCTCCCTGCTGTGGTTCCTCTCCTCCCTTCCCAGCTGTGGTTCCCATGCTCCCCTCCCTGCTATGGTTCCTCTCCTCCCTTCCCTGCTGTGGTTCCCCTGCTCCTCTCGCTGCTGTGGTTCCTCTCCTCCCTTCCCTGCTGTGGTTCCCCTGCTCCTCTCCCTGCTGTGGTTCCTCTCCTCCCTTCCCTGCTGTGGTTCACCTGCTCCCTTCCCTGCTGTGGTTCCTCTCCTCCCTTCCCTGCTGTGGTTACCCTGCTCCCTTCCCTGCTGTGGTTCCTCTCCTCCCTTCCCTGCTGTGGTTCCTCTGCTCCCCTCCCTGCTGTGTTTCCTCTCTTCCCTTCCCTGCTGTGGTTCCCATGCTCCCTTCCCTGCTATGGTTCCTCTCCTCCCTTCCCTGCTGTGGTTACCCTGCTCCCCTCCCTGCTGTGACTCCTCTCCTCCCCTCCCTGCTGTGGTTCCTCTCCTCCCTTCCCTGCTGTGGTTACCCTGCTCCCCTCCCTGCTGTGGTTCCTCTCCTCCCTTCCCTGCTGCGGTTCCTCTGCTCCCCTCCCTGCTGTGGTTCCTCTCCTCCCTTCCCAGCTGTGGTT